TATGCCCCTAACATGGGAGCAGCCAATTATATAAGGCAATTAATAACAAAAGCAAAGAAACACATCGACGACAATACAATAATAGTGGGGGACTTTAACACCCCCCTCACTGAAATGGACAGATCGTCTAAGCAAAAGATCAGCAAGGAAATAAAGACTTTAAATGACACACTGGACCAAATGGACTTCACAGACATATTCAGAACATTCCACCCCAAAGCAACAGAATACACATTCTTCTCTAGTGCCCATGGAACATTCTCCAGAATAGATCACATTCTAGGTCATAAATCAGGTCTCAACCGGTACCAAAAGATTGGGATCATTCCCTGCCTATTTTCAGACCACAATGCTTTGAAACTAGAACTCAATCACAAGAGGAAAGTCAGAAAGAACTCCAATACATGGAGGCTAAAGAGCATCCTACTGAAGAATGAATGGGTCAACCAGGAAATTAAAGAAGAATTTAAAAAATACATGGAAACCAATGAAAATAAAAACACAACTATTCAAAATCTTTGGGATGCAGCAAAGGCAGTCCTAAGAGGAAAGTATATACCAATTCAAGCCTTTCTCAAGAAACAAGAAAGGTCTCAAGTACACAACCTAAGCCTACACCTAAAGGAGCTGGAGAAAGAACAGCAAATAAAGCCTAAACCCAGCAGGAGAAGAGAAATCATAAAGATCAGAGCAGAAATCAATGAAATAGAAACTAAAAGAACAGTAGAACAGATCAATGAAACTAGGAGCTTGTTCTTTGAAAGAATTAACAAGATTGATAAACCCCTGGCCAGACTTATCAAAAAGAGAAATGACCCAAATCAACAAAATCATGAATGAAAGAGGAGAGATCACAACCAACACCAAAGAAATACAAACAATTATAAGAACATATTATGAGCAACTCTATGCCAGCAAATTAGATAACCTGGAAGAAATGGATGCATTCCTAGAGATGTATCAAATACCAAAACTGAACCAGGAAGAAATAGAAAACCTGAACAGACCTATAACCACGAAGGAAATGGAAGCAGTCATCAAAAATCTCCCAAAAAACAAAAGCCCAGGGCCAGATGGCTTCCCAGGGGAATTCTACCAAACATTTCAAGAAGAATTAATACCTATTCTTCTGAAACTGTTCCAAAAAATAGAAATGGAAGGAAAATTTCCAAACTCATTTTATGAGGCCAGCATTACCTTGATCCCAAAACCAGACAAAGACCCCATCAAAAAGGAGAATTACAGACCAATATCCCTGATGAACATGGATGCAAAAATTCTCACCAAAATACTAGCCAATAGGATCCAACAGTACATTAAAAGGATTATTCACCACGACCAAGTGGGATTTATCCCTGGGCTGCAAGGTTGGTTCAACATCCGCAAATCAATCAACGTGATATAATACATTAACAAAAGAAAGAACAAGAATCATATGATCCTCTCAATACATGCAGAAAAAGCTTTTGACAAAGTACAGCATCCTTTCTTGATCAAAACTCTCTTCAGAGTATAGGGATAGAGGGTACATACCTCAATATCATAAAAGCCATCTATGAAAAACCTACAGCGAATATCAATCTCAATGGGGAAAAACTGAGAGCTTTCCCCCTAAGGTCAGGAACACGGCAGGGATGTCCACTATCACCACCGCTATTCAACATAGTATTGGAAGTCCTAGCCACAGCAATCAGACAACAAAAAGAAATCAAAGGCATCCAAATTGGCAAAGAAGAAGTCAAACTCTCATTCTTTGCAGATGATAGGATACTTTATGTGGAAAACCCCAAAGACTCCACCCCAAAACTGCTAGAACTCATACAGGAATTCAGTCAAGTGGCAGGATATAAAATCAATGCACAGAAGTCAGTGGCATTCCTATACACCAACAACAAGACAGAAGAAAGAGAAATTAAGGAGTCGATCCCATTTACAATTGCACCCAAAACCATAAGATACCTAGGAATAAATCTAACCAAAGAGACAAAGGATCTGTACTCAGAAAACTATAAAATACTCATGACAGAAATTGAGGAAGACACAAAGAAATGGAAAAACGCTCCATGCTCATGGATTGGAAGAACAAATATTGTGAAGATGTCAATGCTACCTAGAGCAATCTACACATTCAATGCAATCCCCATCAAAATACCATCCACTTTTTTCAAAGAAATGGAACAAATAATCCTAAAATTTGTATGGAACCAGAAAAGACCCCGCATAGCCAGAGGAATGTTGAAAAAGAAAAGCAAAGCCGGCGGCATCACAATTCCGGACTTCCAGCTCTATTACAAAGCTGTCATCATCAAGACAGCATGGTACTGGCACAAAAACAGACACATAGATCAATGGAACAGAATAGAGAGCCCAGAAATGGACCCTCAACTCTATGGTCAACTCATCTTTGACACAGCTGGAAAGAATGTCCAATGGAACAAAGACAGTCTCTTCAACAAATGGTGTTGGGAAAATGGGATAGCCACATGCATAAGAATGAAACTGGACCATTTCCTTACACCACACACAAAAATAGACTCCAAATGGTTAAAAGACCTCAATGTGAGACAGGAGTCCATCAAAATCCTAAAGGAGAACACAGGCAGCAACCTGTTTGACCTCAGCCGCAGCAACTTCTTCCTAGAAACATCGCCAAAGGCAAGGGAAGCAAGGGCAAAAATGAACTATTGGGACTTGGTCAAGATAAAAAGCTTTTGCACAGCAAAGGAAACCGTCAACAAAACCAAAAGACAACCAACAGAATGGGAGAAGATATTTGCAAATGACATATCAGATAAAAGGCTAGTATCCAAAATCTATAAAGAACTCATCAAACTCAACACCCAAAGAACAAAGAATCCAATCAAGAAATGGGCAGAAGACATGAACAGACATTTTTCCAAAGAAGACATCCAAAGGGCCAACAGACACATGAAAAAGTGCTCAATATCACTCGGCATCAGGGAAATCCAAATCAAAACCTCAGTGAGATACCACCTCACACCAGTCAGAATGGCTAAAATGAACAAGTCAGGAAATGACAGATGTTGGCGGGGATGCGGAGAAAGGGGAACCCTCCTACACTGTTGGTGGGAATGCAAACTGGTGCAGCCACTCTGGAAAACTGTATGGAGGTTCCTCAAAAAGTTGAAAATAGAGCTACCATATGATCCAGCAATTGCACTAGTGGGTATTTACCCCAAAGATACAAAAGTAGGGATCCGAAGGGGTACGTGCACCCCGATGTTTATAGCAGCAATGTCCACAATAGCCAAACTGTGGAAAGAGTCAAGATGTCCATCGACAGATGAATGGATAAAGAAGATGTGGTATATATATACAATGGAATATTGTGCAGCCATCAAAAGAAATGAGATCTTGCCATTTGCAACGACGTGGATGGAACTGGAGGGTATTATGTTGAGTGAAATAAGTCAAACAGAGAAAGACATGTATCATATGATCTCACTGATATGAGGAATTCTTAATTGCAGGAAATAAACTGAGGGTTGCTGGAGTGGGGGGTGGGGTGGGAGGGATGGGGTGACTGGGTGATAGACACTGGGTAGGGTATGTGCTCTGGTAAGTGCTGTGAATTGTGCAAGACTGTTGAATCTCAGATCTGTACCTCTGAAACAAATAATACAATATATGTTAAGAAAAAAAAAAGAAGAAGGTAGCGGGAGGGGAAGAAGGAAGCGGAGGAAATCGGAGGGGTAGACGAACCATGAGAGATGATGGATTCTGAAAAACAAACTGAGGGTTCTAGAGGGGAGGGGGGTGGGAGGATGGGTTAGCCTGGTGGTGGGTATTGAGGAGGGCACATTCTGCATGGAGCACTGGGTGTTATGCACAAACAATGAATCATGGAACACTTCATCTAAAACTAATGATGTAATGTATGGGGATTAACATAAGAATAAAAAAAAAAAGAATGAAAAGAACAGAGAAAGGATTTACTTCTAGACTTGCCAACTCATTTTAAATTTGCACTCATAGTACTTTTAACACTTCTTGTCAATATAGCATGTTTAATACACTCTATCAATAGAACCCATTTATATCCCATCTCATGTTTCAACTGTGGTGGTAGGGAGTCAGGAGGTAAATTCCATCCCATGGGGCTCTTATAAAATAAAGAAATAAAGTTTCCAGGCTGTGGTTTATATTCTGCTAATGCATTTCCATTCTCATTCCCCTACTAGAATCAGAATGTCAGCTCTGTGGTAGCAGGGATTTTGTCAGTTCCATTCACTGCTGGATCCCATGGCCCAGGATAATTCCTGGCATGTAGTAAGGGCTCAATAAAAATGTATTAAATACATTAATAAATTCCAGGCAGCCTGACATTCTGAGTCACCCAAATAATGATCATTTTGTTATATTTTTAAAGTATTTTTCTTGTTTCTTAATCCATTTTTTCTTGTTTCCCAATTTAAAAACAAAGGCTTCTTTTCCCTCAATGAAAGCTCTCATTACCTTTTATCTTACACCAGTTTTCAAGGAGGTAATCAGTAATTTTTAAAAATCTCCCAATGGAAGTTCCATTTTCACTAATGGAAGTCTTCAACTAAAAAAATTTTTTTTAATTTTTAAAAAAATTGCTCTCTCTCTAGTATTTGATACCCTCTTTCCCTTTCTTAGAATTATAAAAACAAACAAACTAGAAACACTCTTAACACATAATCATCTCTGTCTTCATTCAATGTCAAGAGCAGCATTTGTTAATATCACTACCAATCGCATCAGGACAGTTTCTGATGCTTAAAGTGGTGGAAATTAGTTTTCCAAAATCCTACCTTTCACTTGAAAGCTGAAATGTAATCATGGGCAACAACATCTATTACTTTTCTTAAAGTGACAGGCTCACTTTTTTTTCATGAGGATGACTGACAAAAACCCAAGTCTGGATATCTGTAATTTGCTAGATGCTCTTTTGAGTAAAAATGGTATTACATGAAAAAGCTGCTAGATCAGCTCACAACTCAATCACACAAGTGCTTTTCCTTGCGATTCCTACTGTGCTTTGGTATATAGAAGTGACATGTATCCTCCCCATTTTGTCACACAGAATATTAAAAATACATGGACTCAAAGATCAAGGTTTAATAAAATTAATGATTTTTATTGCTTCATCAAGGACATTTTTAAATAAAACTGGCCTTTTTTTTTTTCCTGTGTGACCCACTAGATGAGTGCCCATAGTCATGTTTACTCTAAAGGAAGCAAGTTATGTTAGGCTGATTTCAAAGGCTCCTGCAAAAAGATATTGCCCCTGCCTCAAAACCCTTAATGTCACCCCCTACCTACCCTGATGGTCTTTAAGTTTCTTTAATTACCTATTCAATCAGGTTTTTTTTTAATTAAGGAGTTTGTGATAGTAAAATTCCAAATATCCATAATGGCCTATTTGGGCTGGCTGTATAACCTTCTCTAGGTAAGCCAGGTTGGATGATGTGGCCATGGTTTGCATGAGAAATACAATAGGGAATTTCCATTCTCATTCCCCTACTAGAATCAGGCTCAAAACACCCTTGGAGGCATTAATCAGTGTGCAACTCATTCATTTCAGAAGTTTCAGAGAGCTCAACTGCTCATGTCAGTGGTTCTAGGACATTTCGGAAGAAGCCTCAGGAAGGTGAAAGGAGGTTTCTGTGGACCATGACTGGTCACACCCTTTAGGGATACAGCTACAGCTTGGCTGTTAAGCCCAATGAGTTGAGAAGATAAAAATCATGAAGGTCACTCCTCCTCCCCACACCTCTGCCTTGTGCCCTTCTCCTTAATAATACCCACCACCAGGGTCACTAATTTAATGGGTTAAGCCCCGATATTGATGGACCATATTTTATTAGTCAGAGAGGTTACTGTGACTTAAAAGTGGGCTCCCATGCGTTGCACTCATATTCTTGCATCAATAAATATGAAGAGCAAAACGGGGCTTGTCTCCCAGGAGAAGTCCTGAGCAGGCTCTTCCTCTTTTCTTCTTGTTTGATTTTCAGTGAATAAGTAAACTTATTACTTGTAAGGGCAGGACCTCCAGACCTGGTCACCTCTCTCTCTCTCTCTCTCATGGTCTGGGCACAGCCTCCTCCCAAGATTGAGAATTGCAAACTTGAAAGGCTTTTGCCAGCAATCACTGCACTGGATTTAGTTGGGTTTGCACAGCTACTATAAAAAGGTTGTGTGATTCCCATCATGCTGTTAGGAACTCTGTGTAAAACTCCATCAGAAATCCCATGGAGGGAAGAGATAGTACAATTTGAGCATTCCTCAGTCCCTGGCTTTAATACCATCCTGATATCACAAAGCCCTACCCAGAACCCTCCATACCTCTCTCCCATGTCTGATTCACACCGGCTAAGGTGCCCAGCACAATGCCTATCTTATAATGAAAAAATAGGTATCAGATAACTAAATGGAGAACTAAATGGAGTACCATTGCTGGTACTATCATTAGCCATTACATAATTCTGTGCAAATCTCAATCAAGGTCATCACAAACAAAGGGTGATGACTGCAGAGATCTGTAACAGCTACAGCTAGCATTTATCGAGCGAAGTATGAATACTGGCTTATTTACACTTCACAACCTCACCGAGCGGTTGGACATATAATAAGCTTTTCTTGGTGAGCAAACTGAAGCTTAGAAGGGCCAAATAACTTGGCCTAGGTACTGTCTTTCTTTTTGTTTAAAGATTTATTTATTTATTTGAGAGAGAGGGAGCATGAGTGGGAGGGGCAGAGAGAGAGGGAGAGGGAGAATCTCCAACAGACTCCCCATTGAGAGCAGAGCCCAACACAGGGCTCGATCCCATGACCCTGAGATCATGAGCTGAGCTGAAATCAAGAGTCTGACGCTTAACTGACCAAGCCACCCAGGCGCCCCCAAGATATCATCTTTAGATGGTATACTGGAGAGTTGGGGACTAAAACTAGGTCTTCTTACTAGAGTCATAGTTCATAATTCAATTTTCCAAGTTTTATAAGCATTTTTATTTCTATAATCAGAAGAAATAAAGATATAGGTCGACATTAGAATTATGCAGCAAAGACGATTATCACTAATGACAACAACAAAAATGAAAACAAAGAAATTCCCTAAAGAAGGGTAAGAAAGTGTTTTACAGAACATTCAGGATTGCAAAGTTATTTGAAACATAAACTAACCACCATTATTCTCAGCCTGTGAACTTTTACATTTTATACTTTAAAGATTCCAAGAAAAACATATGTTATTTATGTAGAGTTGTACCCATGATGCTTCAGATAATATCATTCACTGAAAACTAACTCTCCATTGGAGTCCCCTAATGCCTTGTCATCTTTAGCAGGAATTATGAGCTACACTAATGGTTTTTTTTTTAAATGCACAGTATAACACTGGACATTTCAAGTTCAGGTCTGTGCTGTGCTCAGATTCATACAGTGTTCTATAGATATTAGGTTTGTTCTCCTATGTGTAATCTACAACGTTTGACTCAATGCAAGGACGTTCATTTTTGCTTATGTCTTCCACTTCTCAGTAGCGCATACAACACTGCATTCAATCTGTGACTAATAATGACAATAATCTCAACTGATACTCTAGTTACTGGACTCTAGCTCTTAAGAGCAACAAAGAAGCCAGTCCACAATCAGGTTCTGAAATTTTATAATTGCTATGTGATCAATGGTCAAAGTTACCTCATTTTCAGGTGAAGATCTGAAGACTATTGACTAACATTAGTAAGCCCTTTCTTCAACATTTCTGAAAAGGTTTCTATCCACCTTGTCATATCACTTAGAAAATCGGTCTCTGAGAACAATCCAAGCAAAACGCATTGACGCCCTAAACAGAATGTTGCATCATACCAAGTCCTTCACAGCCATGAGCCATTCTTCACAGCAGCCTGGTGAGAGAGGACTCTCTCTTAATCATAGTTCACAAATGGAGACAGTGTGGTAAAGAGAAAGGTATGGTCTGATGGGATCAATGGATACAATGTCACTGAAGGGACTTACATAGAACTCAAAACCGCACAGCTCCCCATTTGCAGATAAGAATCCTGCTACAGTGGGGCCACGCCTCTCACTCCATGACAGCAATTATCACAGACGAGGGTACCATCTTATTAATACAAATCCTATTACAGAAGACACATGTGCTAAACAAAAAAAATATATTAATAATTAAAGTCTCAAATCTATGGGTACTCAAAGAGTCCCAAAGAACTTTTAATTTATTTTCTCTGAAACACACCTCATTTTCAATCCCACGGAATTCCCTCTCCTCCATCCTCTTCCCCTACAAGATGTTAATGCCCCATTAAACAATCAATTACTTCATTTCCCTAAATTTGTTCAGGGCTACATACTTCAGAAAAGTTTAGGCAGAATTTTGTCTACAGAGTCTTGATGAAGAACCAAGATAGAACAAAACTACACTCAATATTGAGGCTTAAAACATATATGCAGCATATGAGCACTGGGTATTTGTTTAAGGCATTTATGGAGAACTGGATCTCTCGGATAATACCTCACCAAATGCACACATCACATCCTGGGCTTTTTACTAAGAGTATGACAACAAAACTCATTTAATATACAATTTAAAATCTGGTCTGTAACAAACACTCTCCCTTTCCAATGCTTTCCCTTTGGATATCATCAGAAAAAAAATGGCAGAGTATCAACCTTTCTATCCCTAATACTACCCAAGAAGTATGCTTCTTCCTCCAAAGAGCTTTCTTCCCTTGAAAACCATGCAGTGGCTCTAAATGATTTGCTACTGCCTGAGTAAAAACTTCTACAAAATTAAACTTCTTAATTTTGATAAACAAAGAACATTATGCAGAGAAGAACTTCAATGACCAGCCCAATCACTTCTTTTTAGGTGCAAAAACTAAGGCCCAGGGAGGTTAAGAGAGTTGTACCAAATCATATTCAGTTAATGGCAGTGCTGGGATTGAGAAAAATGCAGTCATAGAACCTTCTCCCACCCAGCAATGTGACCTTTCTTGTTCCTGAGCGAATGGACTGGTTTCAGGCACATGAAGCAATGGTTTCAGTCCTCATTCTCCCTGCACAGCCAGAGAGAGCACTCCTCGTGGAAGAGATTGCGCATGGCTGGCACATGAAGGCACTGGCCTGGGGTAAAGGGGTAGCTGGCACCACGGGAGCTGTCCTAAGTTTCACCCACACACCACATAGGGGACATGAGAATCAGGGACTCTTCCTGTCCTCGGGAGCTGACGTCTTTCCACAATAAAGAGCACCAAAGCCAGGATATGTCCGGTAACAACAGGCTTTAGGATCCTCTAAAAGCCTCCCCACCCCCCCATGGGAAGAAAATGCGAGCCAGTGTTGTCTCCTTGTCTTTCAAGGAGCTCCAGTGGATGCTCCCGACAGGACAGCCAAAACTTCTCTGTGACAGGATCAGAAATGACAAGGAATGCTCACCCACCAGAGTGGACTGCCCACTATTACAGGCTGTACATCATCCTACACAACACAACCAGAGTTCCTGGGGGCCATTCACTTCCACTCTCACATTGATCGGAGGGTACAGGGTGTCCGGCCGGGATCACATGATTATTACTCTGTTCTGCAGGATAAGGGACCATGGAGAACATCTCACTGTTCAAAACACACAAGGAGGAGGCTTATCTTCAGAAGACATTCCACTTCAGGGGGGAAAAATGGGGGAGGAAGCAGGGCAAGATGAAAAGAAGAAAGAGAGGTAGTAAGAATAAGAAGGCAGACAGGCATACGTTCTTCTAACTTGAAGAGAAAAAGCGGATAAAATTCACACAGCTTTTATTACTCACTTACATCCCTGGAAACCAACAGATGGAATCTCTCATTGCCAAGTTCTAATGCATTTCACGTTCATGCTCAGCATCAGGACACTGGGCTTGCCAAATACTAATAAACTGCAGACTGTGAGGTGAGTATCAAGAATCCACAGCTCCGCCCTCTGCCTCCCTTGCAGGGAGGGGAGCACTCAATTCACATTAGCCAAATTTCCACAAAAGGCGACAGGTACATCGGTCCAGACATGTAAATGGAAGGTGACCATAAGAAATATTTACTTTTTTAGTATAAAAAATATAGAGGTGACCCCTAAGGGCAATTCACATCCATTATGTGCAAGGGCTCATCATGAGTACTGCAGCAAGTACTCCTTATCCTAAAGGATAGTCAACAAAGTAGCTATGATATTCATATATTAAGGCAACCTAGAAAATAAACCTCAAGAGAGCTCTAGTCTATATCATTCTGACACTTGTAGAAATTAGTCCTTGAATACCAGGGCCCAAAACTCTTGAGCTGAAAAATTTTTATTCCTATCAACCAGCCACCTTAGTGCCTGGGCTTCTTTCTTGGATTGCTCAAAGCTTGGTATCCACATGTCCCGCAAAGAGCTCCAACGTGGAGCCAGAGGTGAGAAAGCAAACACCGCAGGTTCTGGGCAACTCAGGTGTGTCACGTCAGCCTTCCATCTTTTGGGTGGTAAACCCTGTTTGAGAGAAAGGAAAAAGAATTAAATATATAAGAAAGCACAAGTCCTGGGTTCCTGCCACAAAATAACAGAACCCAACATATACTTTTCCTTTTAAAGCAAATATCTTCACTCCATAGTGACACAAACAGTCTCCTGCTAAACGTTTTTACGAAATTCCAGAACACAGGAAAGAAGGAAGAGATTCTACAACCTCCATGAGAGGAAACATCTAATTCTGAGGATTGGCAGTTAGGATGATTTTAGATCTCTTGACATTAACACTGGAAGTTAAAAAGCAATGGTAAGACTAACTGATGAATGAACATTAGTGGGGAAAACTTTAAGGAGAAAAAGGATACTTGCATAGCCTCACAATACCTCCCCCCAAATATTTATTCGTTAGACATAGGTCCACAAATTGTTTGATAATTCTGCACTCAAGGAGGTGGAGCTTAATTCTTCTCCCTTTGAACATGGCCTGGACATAGTGACTCGCTTAATGGAAAGGGAAAACTAGTAAACGCACAGAGAAAACCTAGCAAATACCACCTTAACCAAATGATCAGAGTTAACATCATCAGTAATAAGTCACATTGATATGATGTGTCCCCTGATACGGTGTGAAGAGAAGGGCCCTTTCACCTCTGTAGTCATATTCCCCCAAATCCATAACCTACATTTTAACATGAGAAGACATCAGACAAATGCATGGAGGGACAATCTACAAAAATATTGCTCTTCCAAAGTATCAAAGTTCTTAAAAATAAGGAAACCAAATAGCTGATCACAGTTTGGAGGAGACTAGGGAGACATGAGACCTAATTTCAATTTGGTATCTTGGATTTGATCCTGGAACAAAGGATAACAAAGGATTTTAGTGGAAAAACTGGTGAAATATGACTACAGTGTGCAGGTCAGTTAAGAGCAGTGGGTCAACATTAATTTCTTAAGTTTTGACAAATGTACCATGGTGATGTACAATGTTAACAATAGGGGAGGCCAGGTGTGGGGTGTACAGGAATTCTGTACTATCTTTGTAACTTCTGTCAATCTAAAATCATTTCAAAATTAAAAGTCTTTTATGCCTCCAAATTCTAAGAAAAATGGATAGTTTACATTCAGCTAAACTATTGCTTAAGTGTTAGAGTAGAATGAAGACATTTCAGACATCCTTGTGTATCCCTTCTCGGGAAGCTGTACGAGGGTAGGATCAAACAAAAGAGCAGAACTAAGGAAAAGGGAGACAAGCATGCAAGAGATGTGTCAGAAAAAGATAAGAAAGGAAAATCCCCACATGCTGGGGAAGGGAGCTCTCAGGCTGGTGCTCCACGCAAGGTGGCGAGGGCAGCCGGCACGCTGGGGAAGCTCAGAAGGCTCTGTGAGCAATTTCTTCAACAAGATGAATGAACTGGATGTCTGGTAGATCTGAACATCTTCAAAGGAGAGTTAAACAATCAAGAAGGATTGACTGAGTGATATGTACATATAAAAATAATCAAACAAGAAGGCAAATGAGAGGGAAACAAAAAGCTGTCCAGGCGAGGGAAACAGATCACAGTACACTAAATGGTTCATCTCAGAATAGCAGGTGCACAATCGTGATCACATAAACACTGAACATCAAAAAAAATGAGTGTATAAGCATGTTATTTAGAAACAATGAATAAATACCAAAATAATTAGCTAAATGTGGTGGTAAGAGATTGCCATTGGGGAGGGGGGAAGGGGAAAATAAAAGACTGTTCTTTTTTTAACTTTGCAGAGTTACTTAATAGTTTAAGTTTGTGCATATATATCTTTTTCTAAAAAAAATTTTAACTCGAAGATAATAGGGTCTATAATGTTTTGGATCTGTAATAATTAGAATCTTCACCCATCAGGAAATTAGAAAGCAGAGGAGAAAAATCAATTTGGAAATACAATAATTTGGGTACCTACCTATGGTTGGATCAACATATTCTCTCTTTGTTAAACCTACCATTAGAAGCATATTAGAAGATATTAGGGTGTAGCCTGAAAAAGAGATGACTAGAATGCATATAAAGCTTTCTTCAAGCATCTGAAGGGACTCTAAGTAGAAGAATGAATTAACATCCCTCTTGGAAGAGGGACAAGGATACAGTTGCTTAAATCGTCCCTGCTCTTAGGGACCACTGACAAATGATCATGGAGTTTGGCTTCCAAGGGCCTGGAACTAGAGCATAGTTTCTTTACCAAGACAACACTGAGTACAGAGAACCAGAACACAAATCCAAATAGCAAACCACTAGGAAATGCTAAACTTAAAATCTGGGAAGTCTAAACAATAATATAAAATAATACAAAAAAATTTTTTTTCAAAAAACCAGAAGTTCAAACTGGGGTTACTTTAGCCAGAGTTCATGGCTAGGTAGAAACTGTTTTTGGAGCAAGAGCAGAACAGAATCAAGTAAGGAGAACCCAACGTGATTACCATGAAAAAACTTTTGAGAAGCCACTGCTCACATTTATTGACCGATAGGTACAGGTGCAAACCTATAACTCATTGAGCTAGAGTCAGAAGCTGGTAGCTAAGAATGGACTAGAGAAGGGAAAGTGTTCAAAACAAAGAACAATATAAATGTCAAAACTAACAGAAGATAAAATGGGCTGCCTTAAAAAATAATGAAATTGCCAACACTGGAAATGTTCCAAGATCATTAGCAGATGACTTGTTCATGATACTTGAATCACCAGTCGGCTGATAGCCATACTGACCACATACTGTTGGACGGCCTTCCCAACCCTGACCTTGCATAACTGTTTATATGAGAAAGCCAGTAATAATACTCTGTTTCCTTGCCTGCCCACTCCAGAGTCCATTCAACAGTGTACGACAAAGTTACATCTGAGGTGATATCACAAAGAAAAGAATCTTATGAAATGGACTCTTAACTCTAGTGTTCTTGTAGAAATATTTCACAGTATGACCTGAAGGAAGTGTGTTTGATGAAATAGTTATGACATTTTAGAAGTAAGAAAATTTCAGCGTCCCAAATGGACTTTCCAGCTGTGGTTCTGGGCAGAAAAACAGGCTGTTTCTAAAGTATGATTAACAAATATTTTGCTTCCAAAGAGGACATGGCTCCTATTTTAACAGTAAGGACAAAGTCAAATAAACTATAAATTCATAAATTTTCTTGAGCCCATCAGGGAACTGAAATCACACAGCAACCAAGTAAACTGAATTCCACAGTGACAAGACCCTCTAAAGAGAGATGGATACATGATCTGTTTAACCTTTGACAGAACACAGGAGAAAGAGGTGGTCATCATACAAATAGGTAATAAGTCAGTTAAATTTTTAACACATTCTTAAAGGTGAAGTATGGGCTACTATGCTGGTTTGGAATCCCTAGGAGCCCCAGACACAAAACAAGAGTTCAAACCCACTCTAAAGCTCTTTCCCATGGACCTTCATCAGTTACGCAAAAGGAAGATTAGGAGCGGAACAGAAAACTGAAAATATTTTAAACTGAATTAACATTAACATAATAATCTAAATTTGTAGGAGGTAGCTCAAGCAGTGATTAGGGAATTTTATAGCATTAAATATGTATATTATAAAAGTATAAAGGCTTAAAATCAATGACCCAAGTTTCTACCTTAAATTTGAAAAGAGCAAATTAAGCCCAAATTAAGAATAATTAAAATAATAAAGAACAGAAATCATTAAGATATAAAGCAAAATAAAAATAATGAAATCAAAAGCTAATTATTTGAATAGATCAATGAAATGGATAAACATCTGGATTAATCATAAAAAAGACACAAATTAATATCAGACATGATGGAGGTGACATATAGACACTACAGACATTAAAAGAATAAAGGAATACTAATAATGGTATGCCAGTCAATTTCACAACTTGAATAAAATGAAAAAAATATTCCTTCGAAGACACAATCTACCAAAGTTCACTCAAAAAGAAATGAATAAGGGGAGCCTGGGTGGCTCAGTCGTTAAGCATCTGCCTTTGGCTCAGGTTATAATCCCAGGTCCTGGGATCGAGCCCTGCATCAGGCTCCCTGCTCAGCGGGAGGCCTGCTTCTCCCTCTCCCATTTCCCCTGCTCTCTTGCTGTGTCTCTGTCAAATAAATAATAAAATCTTTAAAAAAAAAAAAAAGAAATGAATAAGAGGAACAGCTTTATGTCTATTAAAAACAATTCAATTTATACTTAAAAACTTTCCCACAAAAAAAACAAAACAAAGAACTATGGATTGATGACTGGCTGGTAAATTGAACAAAATATGTAAGGAAAAAATAATACCAATTCTACACAAACTCTTTCAGAACACACAAGAAAAGGGGTGCCTGGGTGGCTCAGTCGTTAAGCATCTGCCTTTGGCTCAGGTCATGATCTCAGGGTTCTAGGATGGAGCCCCACATTGGGCTCCCTGCTCTGCAGGAAGCCTGCTTCTCCCTCTCCCACTCCTCCTGCTTGTGTTCCTTCTCTCACTGTGTCTCTCTCTGTCAAATAAATAAATAAAATCTTTAAAAAGAGAGAGAGAAAAAAATAAAAAGAAAACACAAGAAAAGGGAACGTGAGACCAGCATTACCATATAAGGAAACTAGCCAAGGCATTAGGAGAAAAATATGGAACAGTATACCTCATGAATGTAGACACAAAAATTCCTAACAAAAATTTTAGCAATTCAATTCCAAAAATAAATAAGAAGGATATACATTATAACCAAGCGAAGTTTATCTCAGGAAAACAAGTCAGTTTAACCTTCAAAAATAATCACTATAACTCACCATTAAATAAACTAAAAAAGAAAAACCATATGATTGTCTCAATGGATAGAGAAAATCATTTAACAAATTCCACATCCACTCATGATAAAAATCCTCATAAAAGTAAGAACAGAAGGAAATTTTCTCAATTTGATAAAGGGCATCAACCAAAATCCTACAGTTAACATCATAAACAATAATGAAAAACAGTATTTTCTCTCTATGACAGGGAACAAGATGAAGACATATGGTCCCA